GGGATTATGTTATTCTAGAAAAAAAAATCAAATTTCAAATGAAATCAAGATTCATTCAACTAATATTAAATCCAAATAAAATTGAAATAAATTCCATACACTAAAGAAAGCAAGAATACTTGGTATTAAAATGTCGTAATAGAGCAGGAGAATCGAATGATATTAACAAAAATTGCAGAAATAGCCAATACGGGCTTTAATTAATTTTTATGCTCAGCAATAACTAAATTTCAGACAGAAAAAAAATGCAGATTTTGCCGATTTTCACTAGTATTTCATTATATTTCAGAGACTAACCTTAAAACTCTCAGGACACTTTCTTTAAGGTCTCTTCTTGCTTTTACTCCGAATCTTATGTCGATATATCGTATCGTTAGACTTTTAGACATTTTTTCTATGCTGCTGTTGATTTTTTTTTTAAGAAAGGAAGGGGGGGGGGGTTATAAGCATTTGTAAGAGTAAGGGTTGCAAATACCTCAACGACCTTAAGCTTGATTGTGACCTTTGGGTCAATAGGGGGTCAAAGGTCAAGGTCATTTATCAAGGTCAAAGGTCAAGGTCATCCATAAAAAAAAGAGAAAGAGTGAAAGATAAACTTGAGATTAACACTTGAAGATGAATCTAGATAAAGGTAATGAATATTTCTTTATTACTTTTTGAGTTAGGGGTCAAGGTCAAAGGTCAACGTCAAATATCAAGGTCATTTGGTCATTTGGATTTTTTTTAATATAGCTTAATCGACAATTTCTCTAGTATTCCAATGACCCTGACCTTTGACCTTGACCTATTCTTCAAGGTCAAAGGTCAAAAGATCTCATGCAGTTGGGCCCATGTCTTTACGACTTGTCGTTAAGAAGGTTTTAGTTCTTCGTAAACATCATCAACTAGCAGGGGCAATAACTACTTAAAATGGTTTACGAATTCTTTTGCACTAATGGAATGAGAAGTGTTCTAAATTAGTAGCAGACATTGTTGAAGGTTTTGTACCTCTACGGTTTACCGTTTCGGAGGAGTAGCGATAACAAGGGTTTACACTGAAGGGGGCACTAACTTTTAGAGGGGTCAATCTTAGGGGACAAGAATAAAATCTCTGAAATGGTTTTAAGAGTACATATTGAAGATGCAAAGATGTTTAGAATTTGATTAAGAACAAAAGAGCTATTAAAAATGCTTAATTTTACATATTTTGAATGACCTTGACCTAGATTTTAAGGTCAAAGGTCAATGAATCTTTTGCAGTTGGTCCCATGTCTATACGCCTTGTCGTTTTAGAAAAGTTCTTGATATTCGTAAACATTGCAAACATTCAGGGGCAATAATTTGTTATAAGAGCTTACGAATCCTTTCGCAATGTTTGATTGGAGAGTCTACTAAATTAGTCGTAAACATTAATTCAGGTTTGGAATCTCTGCGGTTTACGGTTTTGGAGAAGTAGCGATAACAGACATTTCTTGCGAAAGGGGCAATAACTTCGAAAGGGGTCAAAGTTCTAACATAGGGGGTCGTTTTTCGGAATAACTTTTGATATCCAGTATCATGAACTATAAAGTTTTTCGATAAGTCTTACGGTGTCAAAACATAAGGTGAGAAATAAAATAAAAAACAGAAGCATTTCAAGAGGTCTTTCCACAGAAAGGTGGAAAGACCTAATAAACAGAAGAAAATCAATAGGTCTTTCCACAGAAAGGTGGAAAGACCTAATAATAAGAAACAGAAGAAAATCAATAGGTCTTTCCACAGAAAGGTGGAAAGACCTAATAATAAACAAGACGAAAACAATAGGTCTTTTCGACAAAAGTCGAAAAGCCCTAATAAAAAAGACGAAAACAATAGGTCTTTTCGACAAAAGTCGAAAAGCCCTAAATAGAAGGGTCTTCCGTTGGAGCATAAAAAAGGCATTCATAGCTACAAAAATTTTGCCTTTATTTACAAGATTTAACCATTTACACATCTCTGAAACTTCTGGGGTTCGTGTTTTATGCCCTGTCCCACTGTTGCATGTATTCATTTATTGTATAAGAAGTAAGATTGCTTAAGTCTGAAAAAAGGTAATAAAAAAACCTTTGTTGATTTTACGCATCGCAATAAGGTAATTATAACGTACAGTAAGAATTTTCATTTTTATTTTTATTTTTTTAGCTTGTGCAAAAATCGGATTACCCTGTACTTAAACAAATTAACATGTAAGTAAATGTGATACAATAAAAGATTTTTCTTCAAGTTTAATGGGTATCACCAACATGTATCTTGTGTTTCATAGCAAAATTTTAATTGTTAATTTAATGCACGTGTTTTTCATTATTTTAAATAATTACTTATTTGATACCATAAGGATAGGTTTCCATTTATTTTGTTTTCCTTTTTTAAAATAAAAAAAGGAGTATTTAAGTTTCTGTACTTAAATATTTATTTTTTTATTTCATTTTTTATTCTCCTCAAGAATTTATTTAAACTAAAAATTTAAAGAAAATAATATGAGAAGATGATCAAATAAATATGTTAAGAAATACCAACTGGATTATGATTTATTCTGATACAGAAAATGACATTTATCTTACCTTATCACAGAACGTCTCAAGTTCAAATAGTGATAAATTTTTTTAAAAGCGATTCTCAAAAAATAAAGTATGTATGCCTTAAAAAATCTTCGACATCCCTATTTCCTCAGAAACATCAGAGATGTGATCAGGTGCCATGGAGGAGTAAGTATCCCCTGCTGTCACACCCGCTTGTGCTCCTTGTCATGATTGGGAAAAAAACGAGAAAATCCTTTGTTAATTCGGTGAATAAATAAACAAATAACAATCAGCATAGAAAACGTCAGTCATCATTTGTCTCATTGATAAATTGTATATTTTGACAATGTCATTGTATCATCCATAGCTTTTACGAAATGATGACTTTTAACGAGACTGTTGATATTCTTATTCCATCAACTTGTTTGTCAATATCTTATCTCGTCATAGAAATTGTACATACGTAGAGCACACTTTGGAGTATTTAATCAACTGGGAGATATAAACAATGAATGCAGGTGATGAGGGTATGTTCCTGCCTCAATTAGGTAAGTTGACGATTGACAAGTTAAAGTGTCATCACGGTTTTCATCAAGTTTAGTTTTAAGATATGAATATATTCCAAGTTTAAATTGTTTAAAATAAATTATGTTTTAAACCCTATAGGTTTACACTTGTTTTATAAATTTATAGATATGTGTACTTAATCTAAACATTAAAGCCAGAAAAACAAGTTGAGCAGTAAAATAAAAAAAGACTTATTTTTATTTGAGTTAGAATATGATACTGAAGACGTTCTACGGTTTTTCACCTATCACTCCTCAAATATTCTCATATACTAAAAGACCAAAATAACCATTGTGCCGGATGTTTTATTTTAGTCTGATTTTTGAGACTGAATAATGTTAGTAAATGTTCAACTAATTAAGCCTCTTTCGTTACTTCTCACTAAAATATTGACAGTAGTGAAGGAAAAACTTCAAGAGTACTCTACAACTATATATTCAGGAAGTGGTGTTAATCAGATGTGGATACTTAAAAATTCTAAAGAACTTTTGGACAAGTTGAAATCACAAGACTTTACAAAAATCAACAGCATAAAAAATCACGACTTTTTAACCTTATACACAACAATTCCCCAAGATAAATTAAAATCCAGGCTTTTTGATATCATTGACAGCTGCTTTTTCAACAAAAATGGAACTCGTAAGTTTACTTATCTCGACATTGGTCATTTGAAAAATTATTTTGTTAAAACAGATTCTGATTGCACACATAAGTACTCTGAAGTTGACATCAAGAAGATGCTTGAGTTTCTGATTGACAATATCTATGTGGTTTTTGGAGACCAGGTATTCCAACAATCTATTTGAATTCCCATGGGTACAAACTGCGCTCCGTTATTAGCAGACTTATTTTTATATTCATATGAAGCAGAATTTATGCAAAATCTTTTACGTGAAAAGAAGAAAACACTTGCTGTGGCCTTCAACTCAACATTTAGATATATCGACGACGTATTGTCAATTAATAATGGTATTTCCATTCCTACGTCGACACGATATATCCTGGTGAGCTTGAGATAAAAGATACCACAGAGTCCGACACCTCTGCTTCATACTTGGATATTTTACTTGAAAAAAAAAACACTCATGGTAATCTAATAACCAAGCTATATGAAAAACGTGATGACTTTAACTTTTCTATCGTCAACTTCCCTTACTTATGCAGCAATATACCTTCATCACCTGCGTACAGAGTATTTATATCTCAGTTGATTCGACACGCAAGAGCATGCTCTACGTATGAACAATTTCTTAAACGAGGTAAATTATTGACAAGCAAGTTGATGAAACAAGAATATCAACAGTCTCGTTTAAAGTCATCATTTCGTAAATTCTTTGGTCGATACAATGACCTTGTCAGCAAATACAATTTATCATTGAATGAAATGCTGACTGACGTTTTTCATACCAATTGTTAGTCCATTATTTATACACTTAATTGACCACGGATTTTTTCCAATATTTCCTGATTATGACAACGAGCACACGGCGGGTGTGACCGGTCGGCAGGGGATGCTCACTCCTCCATGGCACCTGATCCCACCTCTGATGTTTTGTAGGTCAGTGTTTGCTCTGCTCTTATTTTGTATATTTGTTGAATGGACGTTGAGATTGAATACGGTTCGTTATTTCCATATCCTTCCATATCCTTCTGAAAAAACTTTAAGTAGAAAATATTTTTTTCCTCTTTTGGGAGTAAAAGTTCAGGGCATTTCATCATTTATTGTAGAGAGTTAAATTACCAACTCAATACCTACTGGTCTTGTTTATGTTCAGTACATGCTTCGACATGCAGAGATACATGTATTGTCCTTTACACAATCCTCTGGATTTTCTTCACTTTTAAAAAAAAAATAATCAAACTGTCAAAAAATTGATCAAAAACTTACAGTGTCTGTAAATTTGGCAATCCATTAAAGGCGTTGTCTGGAATGGAGGTTATCTGGTTTACATGAAGGTATCTGAAACAATATTTACCAACTCTGAAAATTTACACTTTTTTATTTGATTAAACATCTATCAAATTATTATTGAATTTTTCTCAAGGTATTCAGTGTATAATGAAGGGATTTTGAACGATTATAACGTGTACTAACTAATGTTTAATATACACAGTGAAATTGTTTTGGCAGGTATCTTACTTCATATGTAATTGGTTGATAATCGTACAGTATGATAGATGTCCTGAATAATGTTCTTGTTCTCCATATACTTCTGAAGAAACTTTAGGTAGAAAATATTTCTTCATCCTTGGGGGTAAACATTCAGGGCACTTTATCATTAATTCTAGAGAGTCAAATAACCAACTCAATACCACTGGTCTTGTTTATGTTCAGTACATGCTTCGACATGCAGAAAAAACAGGAATTGTCCTTTACTCAATCCTCTGAATTTCTTCATTCTTTTTTAAAAATGTATGCAAACTGTCTGCCATATTTAATTTATGAATTTGATAACTAATAACATTTTCTTTTCATCTGACACATGAAAAAATTGATCAAAAACTTACAGTGTCTGTAAATTTTGCAAACCATTAAAGGCGTTGTCTGGAATGGAGGTTATCTTGTTGACTTGAAGGTATCTGAAACAATATTTACCAACTTTGAAAATGTACACTTTTTTTGATTACACATTAATAAAATTATTATTGAATTGCTTTTATTTAAGGTATTCAGTGTATAATGAAGGGATTTTGAACGATTATAACGTGTACTAACTAATGTTTGATATACACAGTAAAATTGTTTTACCAGGTTTCTTACTTCATATTGTAATTCATTGATAATTATACAGTATGATAGATGTCCTATTCTAATGAAATTGTATTTATAATATTATTTGTATGTTTTGCACAATATTACACAATATTACATTTAAGTATCATATTCAGACAAGCGCGCATTTCCGGTCCACGTTTGAAAGTCATGCTCTAGTGTTTTGTTTTGTACAGGTGAATTTATAGTAAGTGTTATAAATTTGGAATTTCTATGACTGACGAGTAAACAGTAATTGACCAATGGATTTCAATTATTTATTTTATGCATGTTTTTAATTACTCATGCAATATGTGAAGTAAGAAACCTGCCAAAACAATTTCATTGTGTATATAATACATGTAATATGTACACGTTATTCCTGTTTCTGTTAAAACACGATGATGTCAAAGTTTCTTTCGTGACTGTTTAACGGATTTTGAATTGAAGTTTGAAGTATCATGGAGGTTAATATATTTTTTAAAGAAAAGATTATAATATAATATTAATTTATTATCAGGTGACTAATTAAATCACACTGTCTCTTGTTTTTTTCTGTAGGCAGAAATTCTAGTATTTAATCAGTCTAATTATAAAGGAGTGAGGCACGATGCATGTTCATAGATTGGCGTATTCAAAATTGTTTGTAAACACTGGTCATGAGTATGAAGTTGTTGGCCTATTAATTAATTAGTGCTACACGCATTTCCACAGTATCTTAAAACAAATATAAGTAGTGGATATGCAATTTTGCAAAACGTAGCTTTCTTTTTATTATGCATCCTGTGTTAACATTTGATTATTTTCAGTTTCTTCTATAAAACCACTCTACCAATTTCAACCAATTTTGGCACAAAGCATTTATGAGTGAAGGGGAACAAAACAAAAATAGCCACTTAAATTAGTGTAATCTTTAAAAATCTTCTTTACTCCTGGAAATTTTTCGTGTTGTTATTAAAAATGAATTGTGTTACGTGTCGTTTTTTCTCGTCGCAAATCTTCGAGACAATGTGACAAAGTTAAGGAATAATAATCAGATTTAAAAAATGAATTATTCGGATTGATACATCTTGCTTAGGATATAATATTTTGAAAAATGAATCAGGAAACAAAAAATATAGTTGATTTAACAACTTTTTTTTGTGTAATAGCTAGCTGTCGAGAAACCAACCTCGGTCCGAAGCCATGGTTATTTCTAAAGATCTTGTGTCTAGAAAAAAGCAAGTAGGAAATACCTTCTAACATATTTATTTAGTTTTTAATATTTCTATGAAATTAAGCTTCCAAAAAGCGAGTCTACGTTTTTTTCACTTTGAGACTTTTATGTGACCCACTTTCTGTTTTTGTTTTTTTTTATTTTTGCAAACATGACGAGCAATTTGAATTACTTCCCTTTGTGTCACCAGCTGACATCAACAGAATTTGGTTCTATATTTGTTTTAACATTTCACATTAATAAACAAACACAAAGTATGATTGAAATTGTTAACTCATTAAAAAAAAAATAGTATTAATATTATCAACTTAGTCCACGAACTTTTTGATAACCCCTCGTAAGTAAATGTAATACAATAAAAGATTAATCTTCAAGTTTAATGGGTATTCTCAAAAACTAAAAGACCAAAAAAACCATTGTGCCTGATGTTTTATTTAAGTCTGAGCTTTGAGACTGAATAATGATCTTATTCTCCATATCCTTCTGAAGAAACTTTAAGTAGAAAATATTTCTTCATCCTTTGGGGGTAAACACTCGGGGCACTTCATCATTCATTCTAGAGAGTCAAATAACCAACTCAATACCACTGGTCTTGTTTATGTTCAGTACATGCTTCGACATGCAGAGAAAACAAGTATTGTCCTTTACTCAATCCTCTGAATTTCTTCACTCTTTTTTAAAAATGTATGCAAACTGTCTGTCATATTTAATTTGTGTAATTGATAACAAATAACATTTTCTTTTCATCTGACACATGAAAAAATTGACCAAAAACTTACAGTGTCTGCAAATTTGGCAATCCATTAAAAGCATTGTCTGGAATGGAGGTTATCTGGTTGTAACCTAGGGATCTGAAAGAATATTTACCAACTTTGTAAAATTTACACTTTTTTATTTGATGACATATTGATAAAATTATTATTGAATTGTTCTTAAGGTATTCAGTGTATAATGAAGGGATTTTGAACGATTATAACGTGTACTAACTAATGTTTAAAATACACAGTGAAATAGTTTTGGCAGGTATCTTACTTCATATGTAATTCATTGATAATTATACAGTATGATAGATGTCCTATTCTCATGAAATTGTATTTATAATATTATTTGTATGTTTTGCACAATATTACACAATATTACATGTAAGTATCATATTCAGACGAGCGCGCATTTCTGGTCCAAGTTTGAAAGTCATGCTCTGGTGTTTTGTTTTATACAGGTGAATTTATAGTAGGTGTTTTAAATTTGGAATTTCTATGACTGACAAGTGAACAATCATTGACCAATTGATTTAACTTATTTATTTTATGCATGTTTTTAATTACTCATGCAATATATGAAGTAAGAAACCTGCCAAAACAATTTCATTGTGTATATAATACATGTAAATGTACACGTTATTCCTGTTTCTGTTCGTAACACAATGATGTCAAAGTTTCTTTCATGACTGTTTAACGAATTTTGAATTGAAGTTTGAAGTATCATGATATATTTTTTTAAAGAAAAGATTGTAATATAATATAACTTAATTATCAGGTGACTAATTAAATCACACTGCCTCTTGTTTTTCTGTAGGCAGAAATTCTAGCATTTAATCAATCTAATTATAAAGGAGTGAGGCACGATGCATATACATAGATTGGCGTATTCAAAATTGTTTGTAAACACTGGTCATAAGTATTAAGTTGTTGGCCTATTAATTAATTAGTGCTACACGCATTCCCACAGTATCTTAAAACAAATATTAGTAGTGCATATGCATTTTTGCAAAACGTACCCTTCTTTTTATTATGTGTCCTGTGTTAACATTTGAACATTTTCAGTTTCTTCTATAAAACCACTCTACCAATTTCAACCAATTTTGGCACAAAGCATTTATTGGTGAAGGGGAACAGAACAAAAATTGTAAATTTCATGGTCCCTGCCCCCCTGGGGCCTGAGGGGTCGGCCAAAACCACTTAAATTATTGCATTCATTAAAAATCTTCTTTACTCCAGGAAATTGTTCGTGCTGTTATTAAAAACTAATTTTATCGACATAGTCCACACACTTTTTGATAATCCTTCTTGAGTAAATGTAATACAATAAAAGATTTATCTTCAAGTATAATGGGTAGCACCTACTTATATCACGTGTTTCATATCAAAATTCTAATTGTTAAGTTTATGCACATGTTTTTCATTATCTTATATAATTACTGATACCCTAGGGATAGTTGTCCATTAATTATATTTTCTTTTTTTTTTAATTTTCAAAAAAGGAATACTTATGTCTCTGTATTTAATAAATTCATATTTCCTTTTCATTTTTTTCTTTTCAAAAACTTATTGCAACTAAAATAGAATAAAATAAAAAGAATATGAGAATATAATCAATTTAATATTTTAAGGGTTACAAACTGGATTACGATAAATTCTTAAATAAAAAATAATATTAATCTACCCTCACCATGCGGTAAATTTTAAAGTAAAAATAGTGATCATACTTTCAAATAATGCAGATATAAAATGCAAAATCCTCTACGTGTATGTGTTTCTTTAGAAATAGGTGAATATATCTACTGGGTATCAGATTGGATTGAGGAATCGATAAAGGATACTTCTCCTTGTCACATGATTCCACACTCACAAACTTTGGAGGAGCCGTGTTTTATATCCTGTATGCACAAATTTTTCTATTGTTTGTGGGAATTTTTCATCCAACAATACAAAGGAAAAGGCATTTTACAAAAGCAGTGGTGATATTCCTGTACATAAGCTTACTTCCTATGTACGTACTATAATAAGTACACATACAGAATGTCAAACTTAGTGAAACTAAGATTTACAGATAAGAAAGTTTTGCATTGTCCAGGATAACGGTAATTTCTTTATCGGAAAAAAATCCTGCAAAAATATTTAAAGTAATCCATTGTCTTCAGTTCTTTCCGAGCTTTTATAATTCCAAAGAAGAGAAAGAATAAAACCATCATCAATCCAGACATTTCTTATAAATACATTTTGAATACAATCAATCATAGTCAGTTGTAAACATGTTATGAATGATGATATGGATTACAAAAGTCAGTTATTGAATTCATGATTTCAATTAGTAAAATATAATTAACATAACATTAATCATTGCAATTAGTAATTTTACATAGATTTCTTCTGTACATATACTGAGAGGGGTCATAGCCATGAATATTACATTACATATTACAATATGTGTACGTCAATGTTAGTTCAAACATGTAGAATAATTCCCGATGTGCTTGTCAATGTTAGGTCAAAAAGGTACAATTCCCATGTGCATATCAACGGTTGGTCACACCTTGCTAAAGGTAGTATCGCGATGAACTAACCACAGTTGTGTATCACGGTGAAGGGGAAATGCATCCCTACTGTACGCTTTATAAAAAGCTTAGACACTACATATATTGCATCGACTTGAAGAAATCATTCCTAATACGTAGAGATGAAAATATCTACTTTTAAACTTAAAATCTTCACGCGTCTGTTCAGATGTTGTTAGGTACTTCATTAAACCTTTCATGAAATACAAATTATTCCGTTAAACGTATCCATAAATACTTCTACTGCTTTGTTTTGTTTTCAGATATACATTTAAACAGTTACTTACAAGTAACATGTATCCGTGGAGATGTTGGTAGGTACATCAGTTAACCCTCTTTTTTCACAGTCTACAAATGTCCCATTACAGTCGCTACTCCTCCAACAGCTACAGCCACTAGGACAGGCCTCAGTCACAGGTCCATACATCAGAACACAGAGAACTAACGTCCACACAATCAAAGTCATTCTTATCAATCAAGGTTATTCACATGAAGGGATTCTATATCATACAAAACATTTACAAATCAGTCATGAAAAATATTTTCTTTTTGTTCGCATGTACTGAATGAGGAAGCAAATCAGATTTGACACATCTTCATATAGGCATTTAAGGAAAAGAAGCCCCTCCCCTTTTCTTTTTTATAAACCAGGGATTGGCATACTAGTACTTTTACGAACTGTTTTTGATTGTTATGCATTACATGTTATTTATAATATTTGTTTCTATGAGCTGTTGATGCATTAAAGTAGAGAAAACATGTAACTTTTTTCGTCTTCTGTATCACTTGGGGTTATAGCTCCAACATAAAAAAATGATAATTCAGACCAAATCAACGCTCTTTGAAAAAATAAAATTTCTTTTCGATGTGGGTGAATATACACCATTTTAACACCCTTTGAAAAAATGTGAATGCTGGATATTTTTTGTAAATCTTTGGTATAATAAATTTGAACCTATTGGATAAGTTTTTAGTGATAAGGTCACTTCAGAATGTGAAAGTGAGCGATTTTGCTTTTCCCATATTTTGAAAATTCTTATTTCTTAAATGTTGTACTGTCCTTATTTTTTTCCTTATTTTTTCCTGTTTACATGCATTTTATGTTAAATATAATTTATTGAAATTTTTCAAGGTCATACATAACAGTTATGCAAATACATATATTTGGGTGTAGCATAGGCATCGGAACCGGGAGCGGGAGGGGGGGGGTTGCTAAAGCACACAAATGTTTAACAAAGATATACATATACGTTATATAGGCACTGGAAATTAGGGCTTAGCTTGGATGGGGGGCACGTTCAATTTGCTACAGACGGCTAGGTTTGAGAAAAAAAAGTTGGGCTGACAGACATTCTACTCATATTTTCCTTGTTTTCAATAATGTTAAATCGATACATTTAAATCAAAAAGTTCTGGAAAAGATAATTATTACAAATTAATTATCTCAATTACTAAAATCTAACTCTAGAATTTGTGTTTTAAATAAATTTTTCAAAGTGCGTTAAATTACCCCATGGTAAAATATGTTGATGTACATTTCTAACGCAATTTGAAATTGATTTTCAAAGTGCGTTGAGTACACTATGTATGTCCCGATTTAACGGATTATGAAAAAAAAATCAAAGTGCGTTGATTTTGTCCCAATTTTAACGCACAAAAAAAATTCAAAGTTGATTTTTTTTTTCAAAGTGTGTTGCCACACCTGTGACTTTTTGATACCTTGTTAACATCCATTTTTCAATTTCTTTTCTGAATGCTACCGAGTTGCATATATATAACAAATAAAAAAACGAGTAAATTCGGGTTTGCTAATCAATAAAATACTATTAAATGAAATGAAAGAATTGAATAACATTCCAACTTAAATTATGTTTTAGATTTACAAATAAATCTCGGACAACATCGCGAATAAAGGAAGTGCTTTCATTCTCTCTCAAACTCCGATGCAGGGTCGACCTTCCTCTCTCTTTCATTCACTTCTCCTGTGGATTTGTAATACGATCTTGTAGAAAAATCTAAAAATAAAATTACTTATTTATTTCATTTTGTTTTTGTCCTATTCAAAAATGTAAGATCCATATAGAAATGACACCATATACCGGTTACGGGCTTCAAATTTAACCTTAAACGGCGCTTAGGGCAATTGACTTTGACCGATCCCTAACGTTCACATCTTTAACCTGAGCTGCAAAGTGTGGACAGAAGAGGAGCTCAATTCCTCTCGATAGGTATTGAAGTATGCGGGTGGGGGTGGTGGTCAACGGGACCACTTTTGCAAACTCAGATATCTGCAATTATAATTTGACAAGTGAAAATAATATTGTGTATTTATTACAATTTATATCGTGATTTGAAAACCACTTAACAAAACTGAAAACATATCCGTTTACTCGATATCTTCTAAGAAAATATGGAAACTTCCTTACTAAATAATCAAAATGTTCTCTAACAAATATAATGCTAGTTATCTATGTCGCTTCCTGCACATATAATGGGATCCTGATCCCACCTCTGATGTTTTGGAGGTCCGTGTTTGTTCTGCTCTTATTTTGTATATTGTTTAATGGACGTTGAGATTGAATACTGTTCGTTATTTCCATATCCTTATCCTGTTGATTTTGATTAAAGTTTCTGATACGACTTGATATTTATATTACTTGAACTTTGGCTTAAAACATGTCAAGCCAAGGGAGTAGTTTTGTTCTTAAATATAAAATAAGGATATGGAAATAACGAACAGTATTCAATCTCAACGTCCATTAAACAAATATACAAAACAAGAGCAGAGCAAACACGGACCTCCGAAACATCAGAGGTGGGATCAGGTGCCATGGAGGAGTGAGCATCCCCTGCTGACCGGTCACACCCGCCGTGTGCTCATTGTCATAATCAGGAAATAACGGAAAAAATCCGTAGTCAATTCAGTGTATAAATAATGGACTAACAATTGGTATGAAAAACGTCAGTCAGCATTTTATTCAATGATAAATTGTATTTGCTGACAAGGTCATTGTATCGACCATAAAATTTACGAAATGATGACTTTAAACGAGACTGTTGATATTCTTGTTTCATCAACTTGCTTGTCAATAATTTACCTCGTTTAAGAAATTGTTCATACGTAGAGCATGCTCTTGCGTATCTAATCAACTGAGATATAAATACTCCGTATGCAGGTGATGAAGGTATATTGCTGCATAAGTAAGGGAAGTTGACGATAGAAAAGTTAAAGTCATCACGTTTATCATATAGCTTGGTTGTTAGATTACCATTTGTGTCTTTTTCAAGTAAAATATCCAAGTATGAAGCAGATGTGTTGGACTCTGTGGTATCTTTTATCTCAAGCTCACCGGGATATATCGTGTCGACGTAGGAATGGAAATTATCATTATTAATTGACAATACGTCGTCGATATATCTAAATGTCGAGTTGAAGGCCACAGCAAGTGTTTTTTTCTTTTCACGCAAAAGATTTTGCATAAATTCTGCTTCATATGAATATAAAAATAAGTCTGCTAATAACGGAGCGCAATTTGTACCCATGGGAATTCCAATAGATTGTTGGAATACCTGGTCTCCAAAAACCACATAGATATTGTCAATCAGAAACTCAAGCATCTTCTTGATGTCAACTTCAGAGTACTTATGTGTACAATCAGAATCTGTTTTAACAAAATAATTTTTCAAATGACCAATGACGAGGTAAGTAAACTTACGAGTTCCATTTTTGTTGAAGAAGCAGCTGTCCATGATATCAAAAAGCCTGGATTTTAATTTGTCGTGCGGAATTGTTGTGTATAAAGTTGAAAAGTCGTAAGTTTTTATGCTGTTGATTTGTGTAAAGTCTTGTGATTTCAAATTGTCCAAAAGTTCTTTAGAATTTTTAAGTATCCACATCTGATTTACACCACTTCTTGAATATATAGTTGTACAGTACTCTTGAAGTTTTTCCTTCACTACTGTCAATATTTTAGTGAGAAGTAACGAAAGAGGCTTGGTTGAACATTTACTGGAACCTGCAATGTATCTTTGTTTGTAAGGATTCTTATGAAGTTTCGGAATCCAATATATATAAGGTAGTTCAAATTCATTTTGGCTCTGTGGAATATTAAAAGTATTCAAAACTGACAAGTGATTAAACTGTAAATATAATCGGTAAGGTATGAAAGTGCTAATCGCTAAGAATGTTTTTTTATTCCTAACAAAATAAATTAATATGTAAGATTTATCATGAAATCCCCGTCCCTTTATTCAACCAAATTTTTATTCTTGAGAAAATGATGTGTATGCTACGACACTTTTGCCTATATGGAAAATACGTCACTGGGTGTAAGAATTCTGTATGGATCCAGAATTAATTCACACCTAACTATAATTTGGAAGGAAACACTTGTTTATGAATTAAATTGTACATGTATCTGTAACCCGACTTGTTTTGCATTAAAATACTAAATAAATTGAGAATTAAAGAAGCAGGCATAAACTGGCAATGAAGAAAAAATAAATCCGTTACAGACAAAGCAATTGGTAGATAAGATATTTTTATTTATAATTCAAGTGCGTGATAATGTTAATGAACATATGATTCTGAAAAGGGCTGGAGGTAGTTGTCACGTCAGATTTTTTTCATGCCTTTAGACTCACTGAAAAATGTTTTACAAGTAGAGATAAAATCTCAAACCCGACACTTCTTTAAATATTAAAAAATACAAAGTTGTAAAACAATCATCATACTTTCCTCACTTCTCGCATTCTGACCGTGGATAAATGAAAAAAGAAAATTTGTATAGAATAGAACATTAGTATAGATCACTTGACCCATGCGAGTTAAACATAGTCGGAAAATGCACCTGTATGCGACCATTTAATACGCAATCGGAGTTTGCGATCTGTTCTTCTAATTTAAGTTCACGCAGTCAATGATTTATTCCATTTCAATTATTGCAAATTGTAAACAAGCATTGTCATCGTCTCAATAAACATGTATAACGTCAAAACACAGAGACTTAAATATTTTTAAAAAATGATCAATCCGCCAAGGACATTGAACATTGTACAGCGCGGGACATTTACTGGAGAGATTGGAAATATATAGCTTACGTCCTTTGTATCTGTTGGAGACAAAAAGAAGTACAATTTTCACGGACGTCTGAGAAAGCATTTAATGTACATTCAGGTTTTATGTTGATTTTTTATCCATCAAGGCAATTTTTTATTTACGCAAAGCGTAACGTTAATGTATGATCTGAAAGATAAATAATTTTAATTCCCAAATTGTTTGAAAATTGATTTACCGGTATATCAGAATTTTAAATCCAACATTTAAAAGATACGCAAACAATGTATAAATAAAGAAAATAATATCTGTAGATACATGTAGATTTCCATTTCTTTTCAAGGAAGAGGGGTTAATTTATGTCGTTTCATTCTTTCACAAAATAGCATGCATTGCATTACCATTCCTTGGATGTCAATAGATATTGTTCTTCTTCTCTGAAAAAAAATATTGACAGGGAAAAAGCGGACGAGGGGCACAGGTCCAATTAAAAAAACTCTGACT